AAGCGAGAACAATCCGAAAGGATCCCTGTGATTCCAAGGGTTACACACACACGCGCTTCCCCGAGGGGAGGCATGGTTTTTTTCCGATCACCTGAAATACTAAGGCTCCAACAGGTTCCAATGAACCTCAAAAGTACTTCGGTCGCTCTGACCACGTTGAGGCGTTAAGCCAGCTTGGACCGCTGCGGTCACGTAAAGGCATGAGCCAACTTGGAATTCCAAAGATGGGGCAAAAATCATCGTACGTTCGGCCTAGGCCACCTGCTGTCCGCTGCGGATCTGCGTTCCCAGAGCCGGGGGAACATAGACAAACCCCCGTTCAACGGGTCCACGGGAGGCACTCTGCGGGCTCATCCCGGGTTGGCGCGAGGCCAAACACACTTATGGATATGCATACGGAACTGAAAGCGGTGCCACACGCCAGCCTAGGTTACCAATTCCTAAGAGTACAGGTAAAACCTAAAGGAGGCTGGGGGGTCGTCAAGAGGAACGGAGGCCAAAGTCTCAAGTCGACGACGAGGCGACAGGGTAACGACGGTCGTACTTGTCTGCCGAGTGAGGTTCTTGGCTTAGCCTCACGCCATTCAGAAATTGGAAAATTGCAGGTACGTGAGAGTGATCAGCTCTCATATCCCGTGCGTCAGGTAGCTTCGTTGGACATGGTCCCTGAACGCACGCCATGTCCCCCTGCTGAAGAACTCAAAAACTCAAAACTCTGAAAACGAGAACAATCCGAAAGGATCCCTGTGATTCCAAGGGTTACACACACACACGCACACACACATGTATATATATATATATGTATACACATACATATGTAATATATATATATATACTGTTTTTTTCGCATCGCACAGATCGAGGACGCAACACACCTTGCCGGTCGTGCCCTTTCAAGATGGTTGTTTGCTTTGAACAAGGTGTGTAAAGGGTTGGAGGCCATTGCTATTAGGGTGGAGCCCACTGCTATTAGGGTGGAGGCCATCGCTTTTAGGTTGTCGGCCATCGCTATTAGGTTGGAGGCCATTGCAATTAGGTTCCTTTTGCTACTAGGGTAGAGGCCATTGCTAGTAGGGTGCTACTAGGGGGAGGCCATCGCTTCAATGTGTGCATTGTGTGCTTCTGATCCTGGGCAGCGCTCCATCCAAAGCCTGCGCGCATGGCCAAAGCCCCATACAGGCACTCGCCGCTGGATGTGGTGGCCTGGTATGGCAGCCATGTGCCGTGTACCGTGGCTGTTGATGCTGCGGGACGAGGAACAGACTATGGTCAACCACTTTCATGCGAGAAAAACCCTGTTCAATTTGGAGCCTGATGGATTTGTTGGAAGGAGGACATCATGTGAACCCCAGAAGGACTTTGAGGTCATTTTGCTTCAGCAGATTGCACCAAAGGCAAATATGACATGCGGCTTTTCATGGCCATTAATACTGCCGTGCTCTTAGAGCAACTGAGTGCTTGTAATTTTTGCTTTGCACACAGCGAAACGCTGACAAGTAGTTTCGTACAGGGAACTCTGATCTTGAGGAATGAGGATCAGATTGTGACAGCGACCTTGCCATGCTTCTGAGCTCACCGGCCCACTTACCTGGTACACCTGGTACACCTTGCTTCACATTCTTCAGATAGACGGTCTGGGCATGTCTCGCAACCGGGCCAATGGGGCCAACGCCTAGCACCCCAAACATTTTGGGTCAGACCAAGTCGGTTCCTTTTTCTGTCGATGCTGCCGAGCTGGAGTGTTTCGGATGAGGTCACCTATGATCATCCAGATCCTTCGATCGGTTGTGTTCAGTCCTCAGACTCAGAGGCTGCAGGACCTTCGGTGGACCATGTGGCCGAACAAAAGCGCCCCCCCGGTCGCCCACGTGCCACCGTGGCAGGTTAGCCTCCCCAGCTGGTCTATTCTCTTCATTTAATGATGGGTCCACTAAGGTCTTCCGCTTACAACCAAACATCTCACACCCTTCATACCCGGTATCACCGCGAAAACCAAGGGATGTTTAGTAGGGTTGCGGCGCATGTCGGTCTAGTCGAAAGTCCGAGTTCGTCATGTTACCAAGAGGGTCTCCCGGTTGAAAGACACATAGCCCTGAGTGTTTGAAAGACCCACCAGCTTCTCTTTTTTCTTGGAGAGGACACACACGCAAGAATTCCCTCGATTCGGACTCCTTTTTTTCGTTGGCGCACGGTCTGACCGTTCATCTGCAGCTCGTGTCAAGGCTGCCAGGCTTGAACATCATTGTTCCCGTGAATGAAAGTCTAGTTTCGCTGGCAAATCTAGGAGCCAAATCATTCGTGCCAGCGCTTCTTCAAGCAAGCTCCCTCCCACCCCTTTTAGGGGCGGCGGAGGGAGCTTCCTTGAAAATGCGCGAGCTATCCTGCGTCCATGTGTAGTAGCTTCAGTAGCTAGGAGCATGTTTAGTCACTTACTTAATTACGTAGGCGCCTACTTAATTAAGTATATAAGATATATAAGGGCGACTAAAAAGCTTTTTTGTGTGTTGGAAGCGGACGGTTGGATCCGAACATCGAATCCCCTCCGGTTGCGGACGCTTCGGCCCCGGATCCCAAGGTGATGTCCTCATATACCTCGTCTCCGGGCCTTGCCAACGTGATGTGCTAAGAAAGACTTCCAACCTCCAGATCACATGGCCAACCTCTAGCTCACGTCTCCAGCCTTGTTCGCCGATTTCGGGGCCTTGGAACCTTCCCCAACCCGCTTTGGCCTCCGGTGCCCTTGTGCCTCCATCGTCTTGGTGCCCAACCATTCGTCTTCCCGTGCATCCCAGGTGGATTTTGTGATTTTCCCGCCACGCTGGCTCCCAGCGGAGGGCACCTTCCGGCCACCATGGCTGGGTGGCCGAAGCCGATGCGAGAACAGTTGGAGGGGAGGAACGAGTGTGAGAAGAGGAACATAATATGAAGAACCTAGGTGGACGACCTAAGTAATCTCAGATGATGGCAAATGGGTGGGGGTGGCACTTGGATTGTTGAGACCGATTCGGGTGGTATGGCAGTTTGAGCAGGATGTTGGAGTTGTGACTTGACTGTGCCATTAACATGGGCTTACCTTGGACGGGTTTGGAGATTCAAAGAAGCAAATAGGTGCTTCAGTTGCAATGCTTGGTCTAATCTCCAAGGTTCCACAGGAATTGCATGAGCGAGTTCATGGGGCTCATCACAGGCGTGACGAGTTGGGTTGAGGACCTGGGTCCACCAAGCAACGCTGCGGCAACCGCCACCGTTGAAGTTTTTGGTGCAACGGAATGATTTGTAAAACACATTGCTAGTAGGCCATCGCTTGTAGGTTGGAGGCGATTCCTACTAGCAACGAATCCGAGTCCAACAGAGCTCAGTGTCGACAACCTTCGGCGCAGCATGGCCGATGCAACGGTCGCAAAAACGGATGCCAGCTACCGCCTCCAGGTAGCTACGATGCAAAGCCAGTCCGTTCCTCACACATGATGAGTACAGCTACTGTGCATTTATCAGGGCCATGTATGCATGGGGGGCCATGTATGATTGGTTGGGGGATGAACATCCTTTGGGTTGAGTAACTAGAATCATAGCGCTCACAAAGCTTCCTTTCTCTTTCAATCCGATGTCCGACGTTTGGATGTGAATCATAGCAGACAGCGACCGACCTTTGCTCCCAGACCTTTCTCGACCAACCGCGCTCCGAGGATAGCTTTCTCCCAGGTGCAAGCTCCATTCATAACCGGTCTTCGCCCTGGTCGAAGCTGTGTGACGCGCGCAGAGCGTTCTCAAGGGGGGACGGTCTCACACCGCTCCAGGTATGTGCCACATGGCCCAGATGCAGCAGCTGTGGAAAAGGGCACGGATTTGGATACCTCAAAACCTGAGAGGTGTGGAGACCCAGGTCTGGTAGGAATTGATCATTGGCTTGGTGCGCAGACGGGTGTTCGATTTGGATGGATCTTCTTTCACCTTTATACACACACACACACCGGCAACAAACGCTGCTCACCGACCGTAACGTGCCAGATGTTCAAGCCGCGCGCAGCTCTTCCTCTCGTGTTGACTCCCAACTGTTACAGTAGTACAAAGGAATCTGACACGCTCCATGCAGGGGCAGTGCGCATCGTAAGATGGATCGGTTGGATAGTGTTCAGAAGCTGACAGCTGGAAAGGTATACTTTCTTGCTTCTGCAGTTTTTCAGCAACAATCGGTCTCTTGACCTAAATGCTATAATATGCACTATGATCTTGTTTCATCAATCGATTTTATAGTAGTGTAGTTGCATACCTGCTCCTTGCTCCTCTCACAGACCTTTCACGGTCTGGTTGTTCCAAGGTACAGCGGCACCTTAGCATTTATGTGGGAGACACGCCTTGTGTCGAGCCGGCACATTGAAGCACACAGTTGCTTTTGTGTTCCTTGTTCCGCACCAAGCTTTTTTGCTCCTAAAGTGATGATAGTCTTCAAAGTCTCTATGATGTGGACTCGTTGCATCATGCGGCCATGCAGACTTGCACCAGGACCTGAGCAGTCAGAGTTGACGTCCCTTTTGAGATTCGTCCACAGCAAGTGCCGTCTTTGCAATAAACATCCGGTCCTGCCACACACTTTGTTGTCTTTTGCCCGATTCTTGAGTACTCGCAATGCGAACACAGATTGTCCTCGGCACTTCAGCTTCATTCAAAGCTTTCTTATCCTTCAATCGCAGCTCGGTTGGGTTGGAAGTGGCTTGCTTCAGCTTGATGGCTGAGGGTGTACCTGTTTGAGCGTCACGTTGCTTCCCAAGCACAGCAACGCATCATGTCCGCTGTGCCGATGCTCTGCCTTGGCTTTGGTACAGTTTTGCTCTTAAAGTGTCAGCAGTATTAAAGGCACTTACAAGATGAAAAGGAGCTTTAGTGTGAGCCAGTGGCCAGTGTCAGAAAGGCTGCTTCTAGCTGCAACATCCACATCCTCAGTTCTTGTTTGGAAACCTCTGTCGAATAGCCGCTCCAGCTCGGCTCTGGAACCAGATCAGATGTTGCCATGTGCCGAAGAGGTCTGTCACTTCGTGTCAGTCTGTCGCAGGTGGCGTCGGACGCAACTTTTCATGAACACGACACCTTCTTGCACATGGAGAACATATTTTTTGCGTCCCGCAAGCATGGAACACGTGAAGGAAACACACTGTGCAAGTCAGACCTTTCGCTTTGTGCCAGTCGGTGATCACTCTACACTTTGACCTCTTGTTTTGGGTCACCAGTTTGCCCTGCTTTTCTGTTGCTGTTAGGTGTGGATGGCATCACCAGCATTATCACCGAATCACTGTAACTGTAACCCTTTTTCAACTCTTAAGCGGGACTTGCGCAGCTTTCGATGAAGCGACTGGGGGTTGCTGATGAGGGTGTTATGCGTGGTCGACTTGATTGACATATGCCACTTGAAGGAAGTCTATGTTCTTGGAAACCAAGGCACCACGCTTGGAACATGTTGCCAGGCTGCATCCTTCAGAGTATGCTTTGGCCACCTTGCATGACGAGGACTACCCTGCAGCATGGCAGGATCCTAAGAGTGAAGACGCCACACGATCGTGGATGGCTTGAGCACGAAATTGCCACACGATTGCGATGTTCGCACGAAACCGATGGAGCGTCTGCGATAAGTCCAAAAAGGCACTGGCATTTTTTGCCTAGAAGAAAACGACGTTCCATCGTGCATCTTTGGGGTTTCGACGTTCCAGGCGGGGAGTGCAGAAGAGGTTTGATGCTGGTGCCAGTCCACCACCGAGCGAGCCGCCCTGGGCCAAGGAAAGAGCTTCCAAGGTCCCATTTTCGCAGCAACGAGCGAAAAAGCGGGAGGCCATTACAATCAGTAGGTTGGAGGCCATCGATATTAGGTTGGAGACCATCACTAGTAGGTTGGAGGCCATCGCTAGTAGGTTGGAGGCTTTAGTTGATGGGAGTTGGGAGTCCGCTGAGGTATGGGTTCCCACCCAGCAGATGATGTCTCAAAATGAGTGGACCCCAGACCCCCACCGCTCTGTTTAGTAGGGACATCGACTAAACCCAAGTGGATTGGGGGTTTCCTCATTTTGAGATGCCATCTGCCAGTTCGTGCCTCAGTTTCTGCGCTTCTTGAGTGGAAGAAAGGTGGCAGTTGCCAACCCATCCGTGGACGATTTAGGCCATGGAGTCGCGGCAGCTCGGGGTGAGTCGAGGTGTGAGTCAAGGCTTTGCCAGGCCACAGGTCATTTTTCATGGCAGGTCATTTCTGTGTGGCATCAATGAGCAGTTGGTGCGACCAAGACCAAAACAAATCAATGAGGTCCCTTACAGAAAACAACATGTGGGCAAGAATAGAGATTGATATATGATGATGATGTGTTCTTTTGAAGCCTTTTTTGGGTTATAATTAAGAGCGACCCAAAGACAACGCCTTTTTTCTTTTGGGCCGGCCGTTTCAACGTGTACAGCTTCCTGACCTCCCTCCAGAGTTCAGGCGATCTTGGCCAACCTTGGGAGACCCGGATCCCACCCGGGACAACAGGAGTGCTTTTGGCCTCCAGGGAGGATTCCGGTCAGAGCAGAGGAGAGATGCCACCGAACGAGCTAAAGATATATCACAGCAAGTTGACAAAGCCGTTGAGTTGAGAAAGCCCACCTTTTGAGATCCAGATCTGACTTCCGAGCACCAATCGTATTTGGCTTGGCTTTTGAGGTCGAAGACACGGGTGCTCCGGCGGTTTCCTGGATTTTTTGGGGCACCGAGTTTGTATATGTGTTGCTTTCGCTTATTTTCCTTTGGAGACGTGGTTGAGTAGCTTTCGACCTGGAAGGAAAGATGGCCGAACAGCCAAGGGTTTGGTTGCAAATAATTGCAAACATACACCTGACCTGTCAGATATCATTTACCCAACTTCTGCAGTCCTTTGCACCTTTCTCTGCTCGAGTCTCCAATGGCAGGGCTTTCAATCTGTCCTGATTGGCACATTTAATTGAGACAGAAATGGACCGAGTCCGCGCTTTTCTTGCGATACTTGGAACTTCGAAGAGTTCGGACAACGATGGGACAACGATGGGACAAGACGCATTCTACAAGACCTGAATCGCTTGATTCATGACCCCTCTCTCTCTCTCTCTCAAAAAACGGCACATGTATGAAGAACACTGACGAATCACGATGCAGCCAACAGGCACAATTGTAGATCGCATGATGACTTTCCCAAAGCGAACACATAGGAATATGCGGTTGATTGCGGTTGTCTATGCGACACAACCACAATAATCGTAGATGACATATGTCGGAACAGTTGAACTCTGCAATATGGATTTACCACTTACTGGAACCTGTTCGAAAGGTTGTGAACTTGCCATTAGCCATGGAGGTCAACAATGCCAGGGTGGCAGAATCCACCTGCACCTTGGAACACATTTTGGAGAACTTTTTGCACATCCACTTTAGCCATTGGTCTTAGCAGATGCAACCGCAGGTGACTGAAAATAGCTTCATTTTTTTGCGACAATTCCGATATGATCAGCATTAGGTGACAACAATGGTTCCGAACACTTGCACCAGGAGCTTTGCGATCTGCGCAGCTTTCTGGAATCACGTTTCTCACAACAAGAAAAGCTTCTGCAAAGTATGAATGAGAAGCTCCGTCCAGAGAAGCCAGACAGGCCAGACAGGCTCCTCGTCAATCCCATCACCCGGGATCGCTCGCGCTCGGGCACGTCCAATAGCCCTTCAGGTACTCCTCGGGGGCGGAGCGATCTGAAGGCCTTGAGCAAAACGATGAGCGCTGTCTTCAGCTCCGCGCCAACTACACAACCCCCGACCGTGCCACTGGAGAGAGTGATGTGGGAGAGTGCCCGCCCAGTGCGAGAAGCATCGAAAGATACGCCTCCCAATCAACGTCCACCGCGCACGTCCAGACTCTCCCTGTCAAGTGCGGCGTCCAGGTTCTCTGTCGTGTCAGAGGTCTCCTTGATCAATGAGTCGACCAAGGAGATGAAGCGGAAAGCGCGGAGGACAGAGAAGCGCTTGCGTGAAAGCCGAAAGGAGTCAACGTCCGACCCATCAACGGAGACGCAGATGAATCGCTTGCACTTCCACCTTGAGGCCCTAGTGTTTTCGCCCTGGTTTTCTCCTTTGATCACGCTCTTGATACTTGTGAATGTCATCCTGCTTGGAATAGAAGTGGATGTCTCTGCAATCACAACCTTGGAGGATATGCCAACCTGGTTTGGCACTGCCAATGCAATTTTTGTTGCCATTTTCGTTTTGGAGATACTTCTAAAACTGATCGTGCTTGGATGCAAAGACTTTTGGTGCGGGGAGGATCGCATGTGGAATGCATTTGATTTCGGAATTGTCGCCATCTCTGTGGCCGATGTCATCCTTGAGCTTCTCACACAGATCCTCTCATCGTCCATGGGAACTGGGCAACTGCGGTTGTTGCGTTCCATTCGCCTGGCACGGGCTTTGCGCAGCATCCGGGTGGTGCGCCTCTTTCGGCAGGTGGAGGCTCTGAGAACTCTCATTTTGTCGATTGTGAGCACGATGGGTTCATTGTTTTGGACCATGGCAATGTTGATCCTTCTCTTTTATTCCTTTGGAGTGGTATTTACACAGTTTATGGTGGAGCATTGCCGCTCCCCAACGGAAACCGGAGAACTGCCTGAATGTCCAGAGCTTCTTCGAAGATATTGGTCCTCCGTGCCTGAAAGCACCTTGGAGGCACTTATATAAAAGGAAAGAGTGCTTGCATCTCTTTGGCGCAGCTTCATAATGTCTCGAATCCAGAGTCAAGCGTGATTGAAGCAACAGTGCTGGTGATTTGAAACCTTCCTTCCCAGCCCTGGCTTCTTCCTATCATGTAACATGCTAAGCATGTATAGCTCTTCATCCACTTCTCAATCTGTGCCAGGTATGCTGACCCTCTTCATGGCCATGCCCTTACTCCGTGTCATCATGTGGAAAAACCCAAGCGGTCCGGCCGGGTCCACCCGCCGTTCCGTTCGGCGCCCGCGCCGAGGCCATTTCCGGGGGCGTGAACTGGGACGATGCCATTCGACCTCTAAGGGACATCTCCTCCATGGCAATGGTTTTGATGTCGATGTACGTCTTCATCACGGTCTTTGCTGCTTAAACGCTCCTTGGACCCATCAAGATGGGGATGGGTAGATGGGTGGTAAGCTCAAACGCGTGCTTAGGGGCCAGGCCATCATTTTGGCTAGCTTGCATGTTTAAAGTTGCTGGCAGACAGGTTTGCAAGCTATTTTGAACACAGAGTGCAACGAAGGGAACGGAAGCTACAGGAATGAACAAAGCCACCATGAAGAAAAATACATGACAAGCGTCTACTGCTACTGGGCCTGCAGCAAACGGTGCAATATTTTGTGCCAGCAATCCAAGCTTGACAAAAACAAACCCGTTGACCACTTCAAGAAAGGACTAGTGACTAGTGACTAGCCACAGAACTTTGGGCATTCTCATCATGCACAAAGGCTGATTTCCTCATCATGATTTGTTGCTGCCGTCATTTGCTCAGGTTGTTACTGGCGTTCCTGATCTGCAGAAAGACCGAGCTTTGTTTCACTTGTCATTCCGAAGCTTTCTCCTTGACACTATAGGTCTTTCTTTTCCACTCAATTTTGTTTGGATGGATCATCGCAAGTGAGCAAACCAAGGTCTTTTGCAACACTGCCATCCAAAGTGCTCAAGTCGACAAAGATGTGGCGACCATCCGACAAGTCCACACCAAAATGCAGCAGGCAAGGCTGAACGGCGGGTTACGTATGGACGGTTATTTCCCGGCTATGCATGGATGTTCAGTCTTAAAATGTTGAATGGCTTGGGTGTCGAGGAAGGCTGAATGTTGAGGAATGGCCCGTGGCGTTGTAGTTTTTGCACATTTCTTTTGGCAAGTCTGGGAAATACACACGGTTCCTTCTTTTCACGGAAGCGTGAGCCGTCAAGCCTGTTGCGTTTTGCGCTTTGATTTGGCTGTGGGTCAAAACCCAAAGCCCTAATCAATCCCTGGTAGGTTGACCTCTCGTATGTAGTCTATTCTCTTCATGTATGAGGGGTCAACCAATGTCTCCCGGTTTTGACCAGCCATTTAAGTTTGGTTTTGTTCATCAACTTAGCTTGTTTGGTTTGTGTCTCTGTTTTCAGCGGCTGTTTGAGATAGCATGTCTCATGTGGTGCCTCTCGCATCTCGCCTCTCGCTTCCCGCCTCGCCTGAAAAGAACGCAGACTCGCCGCCTCGACTTGTTTCACTGAACGTCCAGGCAGAGGTTTTGAAGACGGTCTTCCAGGAGATAGATATCTGCAACTCGAACGAGGTCACCTTTCACGCACCATGGCACATTTTTCAATTGTTGAGTGCAACACTGAACAGATTTGCCCAACCTTGCGACGCTTTCAAGAGGTGTTTCCGCCTTCAACGACGCGAACAGAGCGACGCGAACATGAGGATGTGAAAGATGCGATCTCCACGCCGGAGTTGGCGGGCTTTTTGGAGTCTGTGGGCATCTCTACAGATGATGTATGGACGGGGCCGAAACGCCTGGCTTGAAGATTGATTATTTAGTCTGCAGAAAAGGTTGAAAAGGTCCAAAAAACGCAAGTTAGACTTCTCCATCAAGCTGGATTTCACTCAGCACGCATCTGGAGCTAATGCTTTCTAAGCGGCGTAGTGACTATAGAGAAGATCCGGAAAACCGAATCTGTATCCTCTGGTCGTAATCTCGTGCTTGCCTGGTGTGTCAGCCATAACCACTTGTCCTGATCCAGTGAGTTGTGAAAGGGAGAACGTTCGCTTCACTTTGTGCTCTTCATTGACAGGACGTTCTTCATGTTGTTGGACCAAGACCGGAGTGGCAGCATTGATTTGGATGAGTTTGTTTCAGGGTGCCTACAGCTCCATGGACCTGCCAAGAGCATGCAGATGGCAAAGATGAGCTTTGAAAACAAGCGACTTGCATTATACTAATCATTATACATTGGAAAAGGATTCAACAAGGACAGGTCACAACACGACGGTACGAATGGGTACCAGAAACATGGCAAATACTGGACAAGCCTCGAAACAAAAAGGACTTTTGATTCGGGGTGCAGCCTGGTGTATGTATGTACACACACACACACCACACACACACACAAGCGGATCCATGTATTCATTGGTCAAAATGTCAGAACATGTCAGAACATGACATTGTCGACTACACTCTGTCGACGGTGAGTGCGGCCCAAGGCTGACGCGGCAAGCCATCAAGCATCTTTCGGAGGCAGGGCGTTTGTTTCCATCTCTTGAATAACACTGTGATTGTGGAGGGTATATTTTGGCTGAATATTTACTTTTTTTTGGCGGATATTTTTGGCTTGCTTGTGTTCTGGCTTCTGTGGCTTTGGGCTTTCTACTGGTTTTAGCTTTTGGTGGCTGATGTGGCTTTTATTGGCTTTGGCTTTTTGGTGGCTTTGTCGCTTTCGGCTCTATACAGTGGTCTTAGCCTTTATATCTTATCTGGTTGAAGGCCTCTGTGGCTGATGCCTTGCTTTTCATAGGATTTTGATGGCAAGGCTTTGATAGCTCCTTCTGTTGCCCTTTGGTCGCTTTTTTGGTGGCTTGGCCCAAGGAACACAGACAGGTTGTAAAGAAATACACACAATTCTGGGCCCAAGCCATTTTAAGGGTTCTTCTATATCGCCAAAGGAAGAACCAGACTTTCGATGACTTTGGTTTGCTCTTAGGGGCCCTGCGCCCTTCCTCCAACCCCCTCCAGCTCTGTCAAACAAGCCAAGCCAGCGAAACCAAAGGACTGCACTGCTGGGAACCTCCCTATCCGCCCCCCAAAAAGAACTCCCACCAATTTTGTTTTTCCTGCTGAAAGCTTTTGTCAATTCTGTTCCCATCTTGATGCGGGGCGCACAAGGGGCAACAGTCGAGTTGGATCTTATGGAGCATTCTTCCTGGCAGGACCTTCAGGGTATGAAACAACAGCTGAGTTCGGCCTTGCCATCGAAAGAGGTCAAAGAGGTTTTCTGAATCTGGCAACGGCTAGCTGGGCAGAAGTGAGATGCACGAATCAGCTTCGGCTAGCTGAGCAATGCGAGTTGCTGGATTCTGTTTTGTGGGAATTAGGCATGGCTGGTGCTTTTTCAATCTGTTTGTCTCTCAAACAAGGCCTAAGAAGGCCACATCTTGGGTGTGTTTTGGTCCAAAGCACCAACCAGCTCCGGCAAGGATCCGGGGTAGGCCGCCGTTTACCGCGACCTTTTTGGGTCCACGATGGAACGATCGCCTGTTTACTTTTATTTGCCTATCCTTCTGGCATCTCGGCTCCGTATGTCCTGACAGAGCTGCGCCGTTTTCTCGACTCTGGCATCCTGCTCGGCCAGGAACTCGACAAAGTCGAAGCTCTCGCCAAGTGTGGCTTTTTCAAGGGCACAAATTGAACACCGAGTGACCGAGTCATAGCTGAATAATTCGTGGGGAGTCCGGACTTGTTCGTTCGCTATTTTTTCGGACTTGTCAGATCATAGTCAGCCTGCTTTACCTGGATGTGACATGCATTCATACACTCCTGATTGACTGATTGGGTTTGCTGGATTGTAAGACCTGTAAGCTCTTGGGTTGGGAAGGAGTGCGTTGGGATTATACACTGATTACTGCTGTTTGAACCAGTTGTAGCTAGCAACTTCATGCAACTTCCATTGGTTGTAGCTGCAGACATTCACAGCCAATGTCATTGCAACTTCTGTTGGATTGCAGCAAGCCTCGAACGATTCGAGCTCTTCGTATGGTATTTCCTTCCGAATCAAAGCAGTGCATAGTTCTTGGCTCAAGAGGAGCCTCTACACTGCCACACCATACGCAGCATCCATACCAGTACAAATCGCACAAGTCTTCGACAACCAGCTGGATTGCATGCCTTGCGAATGCACTGTCAAGAAACGCTTTGTTGATCTGTGTTGAATGAGCAAACACCCGGAGCCATGCCAAAGCGGCTCCTGGCTGAGTTTGAAGCTTCACATTTGTTGTCTCTCAATGGATGACACTTCCTCGACTCACCTTGATTCTGAGTCAGGGTAGACAATCCCTTCCGTGTCGGTGAGCCGGTCATGCGGGTTGGTGTAGACCATCCAATTCCTGAGGTCCAGGTTCACTCGCGTTGACACCCTGAGCGACGCAGAGTTGGATGAGAGGGAACGAGAATTGGAAACCGAGTCCTGGCAGAGAAGAGGTCATGGAACACCCAAGAGGTCCTGGCAGGTAACCGGATTGAACCGCCTTTTTTTTCCACAGAGGAATCGTTGGAATCGTGGGATCTTCTCGGCAATTTTGTGGGGTGTGCATGAGTATGTGGATGAGATACGTTGTACATGTGAAAATAGACATAACATAACTTAATTGGACGTCCCTGTTTATCGTGATGCCCGCCGTCAAGGCACTCCGTCAACGGAATGAAGCGCTGAATTCCAAAAGGAGCGCCGAATTCAGCATGGCTGTGTATGCGAAGTGATTTAGAAGCTAGCAGAAGCTGGCAGACAAGAACATTGAGCTTTCCGTTTGTTTTGCTGGGCGTGAATTGAACAGAACTGAGTCAACTTTACAGACCGACATGAAAGCAAGTACTCGTAGCTTGGTATGTAGCGTAGTAAATAAGAGTCTACGGGACTCTTGTGCCCCGGAAGCTTGGCCCCACCAGCAGTTCCCAAAAGGAGATCGCGCGGTGCAGTCATTCCAACGATTGCGTCGCCAGGAGTTCCCTTGGAGAGAAGTTCACACCCTTGGGCGACCATCAGAAATTCAAGGCACGTGGTTGGCACAGCTTTTCTGTCTTGTTAAGGCATGTTCGCCTCGCTGTTCAATTCTGCCATTTCTCAGACACTTCATGTGACTCGAACCGTCAGGAGATGCAAAATTTCAAGCAGCTCCGAGACAGGGCTCCTTCAACTGCAATGACCCATATTGCTCTTCTCCTGCCTCAGCTTATTAGGGCGGTGCGGTTTGGCACGTTAATTATGAATCAAGAAGCGCCAGCAGTGAATTCCATGTAACAAACACCTCAAAGATGGGATTTCAGGCTTGATCCAATCCTAGAACCTCCTCCTCCTCCGGTTGAACAAACTATGACAAACTCCTGTGCAGAAAACCGCGCGGAGAAAAATCCGTGCCACGAACCGCTTTACAACATGATCCGCCCAGAGCAAAACCCCGTGCGAAGTGCATCAATGGCCGGATCTGTGAAAAACATCTTCCAAGAGACTTGTGAACTTATACAGACCCTGTGACTGGATTTTCAGGTTCCTACCGGTTTGCCAACATTTTCCTTAAGCTCTTCCCTTCCAGGAGTTTTCACCAAGAACAACCGTAACTGCCCACACCTGTCCGCCCTGTGTATCCACCATGACACGCCGCGTTTACACCAGCAGGTTTTCCTTCCTCCAATGGCACGGACTCACGCAAACGCACTTGCCACCGAGGTCGTGCAAAACCGCATGGCACAGCGACATCACCTTTCGAAAGCTTTGGTTGTTAGTCTAATGAAGAATCAGTATTCTAATAAAGGTTTTTGTAGGGGAAAAGGAAGACCCTTCGATCTGGAGGGTTTTGAATTTTTGATATGATTTTAATGAAGGATTTTATAGTTTTTTTCTGGATGACTTTTTGGGCTTGAAGCTCTTCACAGGTGACCCTATTTTGGACTCCCCCGATTTCAGGGACAGGCTCCCTCAAACATTCAGAAGCTGAACCGTCCCTCACGTGAGAACCGCCAAGAGTCACAGGGCCTGTATCATCCGGTCCACCTACTAAAAATAAACACGGGCCCCCCCCAATAAGAGAAACTCGGTCGCATTTTTTTCATAGAGTTGGGTGCGCTTTTCACATAGACAAACACACCAATGGCATCCAATGGCCCATTGTTGTCACTCACCCCATTTTATGGCCAAACGAGACGCAACAAACACATCCGAAGACGCGCATCGCTCGCGCGATCGCTCTCAGGAAAGATATCTCCTCCAGGAAGTTCAGGAAGAGAAGCGCCGACGAGCTGAGAAGGCAGAGGCGCAAAGGGCCACAGCACCGCGGGGCGCCCAGAAGGAATCAGGGCATCCTGCGGTCTCTCGACCACGCAGGTCAGACAGCGTCGCAGGTCATTTGTGTTGGCATTTTTCCAGACACAGAACCTCAACTGAACATCTTCATTCCTCTCATGAATACCTTGGGATGACCTTCCACTTCCGGTCAAGATCACATGGTGCGGGAAGTGGTGCCCTTTGCGTTGGGTTTCACCACTCCCACGATCAAAACTGGCGCTTCGACGAGGGTGTGGCACACGGATCGGTTTGGCCGTGCCAAGGAACGCAGAGATGTCAGCGGCCATCGCCGAGTACTTTGCCAGAGACTTACAGACGGATCTTTGATTCCAATGCGGGCCGCATGGCTCCTGGAACTTTGCACGAGAGAAGATTTCTCTCTCTTAGACTATTGGAGTGAAAGTCGAAAGTCACCCCTGCCGCTCGATATTCCTTGCGAGTTGGACAGCAGTATGTAATTACAATATAAATTATGATCATAGAATTATAATTGAAATTGAATTGACTTCGAGTATTGTATGCAAATTTCTGTCTTGAAGCTTGACGCCGAGGCGCAGCAGAAGCAGTCAGGACCTGCCGAGAAGGCCGAAAAGGCTGCTCGGAAGATGTCTGCAAGCATTGCCAAGACAGCACAGATCCATCCTTCGTTGGTGCTTTGACAGCAATGGCGAGGGAGTCGGGAGACAGGTCCCTGGTTCCGCTTTTTCTTGGTCGAAACTGACCATGTGCAATCTGCCGCACTTTGAGAAATTCTCGTCATGGAATGGGTCGTCGTTTGCTCGATGCATGTGGAAGGCCAGAGATGTGATCCAGATGTGATCCATCACGAGCCAGATGAGCAACATTGAGCAACCCCCCAAACCCGGGAGCAGATGTCCGTCCCGCTACTAGTAACAAGATGTCCGTTCTGCACTCGGTCCTCGGTCCGAGGCCAGTGTCTATGCAAATGCAGCGCCGGCGGCACCCGCTGCACCGGCTTCGGCTTTCGCGGCAGCGGCCGTTCCGCAGCAGGCTGGAAGGGGGTCCCCCAGGAATCAGGAATAGGATTGTGATTGGATTGGGCCCCCCTTGGCACAAGAGCCAACGCTGCTTCTTGATCTCAAGCAAGCAGAAAAAGCAGCTAGGGCCTCGGGAAGACATTCGGAAGGCCTTGGGGGTTTGACTTGGGACCGGCACTGCTTGAGCGCAGGATGCAGGTGCCTATGAAATGGATCCTCAGCAAGCCGCAGCAGCTTGGAAGAGAAGCAAGGGATTTGTTTGCAGATCCCAAACAAAACAGCTGCAAAGTTGGTACCTTTACAGGTGAACATGAGCCTCGTCCTGGCCCTTCCATATTTGCCTGATCCACCCTTCGAGTAGGGTCAACTATGCTTCACGTGCAGATAGCCAAAGATTTCCAGAGATATCCAGATTTCACAAGTTGTTTCATGGCTGGTGAACTCCCACTCCCTGGAGGCTGTGGGCACAAAACCGGTCTCATTTTCGTCTAAGCTTTGTGTACTTGTGCCAAGAAGATCGGCTTAACATTATTAGATGTTCATGGATCTCTCGGAGAGGGTAGAGACACTTCTTCATCAAAAAGCCGTGGCACCAGGTCAGAAAGGATCGTAAAAACGTGGCAAAAACTCACATCAGCATGTCTTAAAGTGGGCTACTGAGAGTGGCCTGTGGTCCTCAAGTCCTTCCGATTTGCCCAGGCTGTCACCACCGTGCCCCCTGTGTCCACGTCCGCGGCGCCGGCACCCAGCTGGGCGGCGGTGGCCGCACTGCCCGCCGCCTTCCGGGCCCGGGCGCTGGCGACCATGGCCGAACGGCGCGCGTAGAAAACACGGGGGCGCTGGGGGGGGTGGCGGGCCGCGCCGCGGTTTGTGTTGGGCCAGTGGCTGGCTCGTGCCGTGTTCATCCGTGCTCAGGTGCAGAAACGTATGGGGCTGAAATCATCGGTGTTTGTTGCGGGCTCGATTCTGATAAGGACAAGCGCTCTTCACACACTTCCCAGCTGCTGTGTTCACATTGCAAACACACACTGCCTGTATCTGCATGTGAGGTCCGTCAAGAATGGCTTTGATTGTAGACTTCACACCATCATCATTTGTTTCACAACATTGATTTCACAACTCATGAATTTACAGACATCGCTATCGGTTTTATGGCATTGTGGGACCAAATTGGGGGGGTTGGGGTTGGTTGGGGATGGTTGGAGGGCTAAACGCACCTGATATCACTTCACAGTGCATCTTGTGAGACTGCTCTGGCTGTTCACGCTGTTGCCGTTCGAGCCTCAGAAAGGCATGGAGGCATCGAGTGAGGCAACTGATCAACCTATCTGACATGCGGACATGCGGTGTCTATGAAGTTGAAACATGTGGAAGTCGAAACCACTGACGAAGATCAGCAGCAAGGCAGTTGAGACCAATTCATAAAGCATACGGCGTGCCCGCGCCTTGCATGCATGATTTCTTTTCTTTAAACCAACTTTGGCCGCTGGCCTTACCGAACACAGCCACCGTGCAAACAAGCCGCTATCATAGCCCTGCACAGAATTCCTGGTTTTTGTAGCCCCGGTGCCAAGCTGTTTGGGCTGTTTTGCTCAACGTGCTGGGTCAGCCCTAGGTGCGGCCTTGTGAGGAGGGTTGGGTTCTTCAGATGGTCGAAGGGCTTTGATTCTGGACAACTTGATACATGATACATTCATCCATTCTGCTGCAATGATCGGATAGACTTTCCTCAGACGTTGGGTGCTGCCCAGATGTTGGTTCTTCAATCGCAGCATCGAAGCGCATCGAACGAACTCGGAGCGAGCGCAGGTTCCCAGCCGAACATCTTCATGGCGCCCAAGCATGGTGGTAGCACCGGAATGGGGAAGAATGCCCGGACCCGCAGATGCAAATTGTTGAGATTCATTCCGATCCCTTGTGTGACAGTCCAAGTATGCTCTCACTCACAAGGTTTATGTAAATGGAGAAGGAACATGACAGAATCAAAATCAAACACCTGTTTATGTCTGGCTCAAATTCCCCCAGCATTCTTGTGCGCTTACTTCTCTTCTTCAGCAATGCATCCTTGCATCCTTTGGCCGAAAGACTCAGCGGGTGAAAGACCAAGGCCCAGGTGCGTAACAAAAGTGCCAATCCCCAGCAGATCACTGCAGAACAGCTCTTGCGGGAGGCGCTCCGCGTAAACGCGCCGTCGGACGCGTCGGTCGGAGTAGAGCACGGACGCTGAAGAGCACGGCTGCCTCGGATCATCGTATTTTTTAAAAGAGTAGTGCTCAGAGCACCTGAATTGGTTATTCCACCTGGAGCACCTGAATGATGTTGAGAAAACAAATGCCCAGGGCCACCAAGGCCCAAGCCATAGAGGTCATAAGAGGGGTCCATGATTGCCATGATTCGTGGAGCCAGGCTGTTGATCGGCAGCAGGCCGAAGCTGTAGCTCCCAAGCAGCGCATCGCTGACGAAGACGAGCTCATGGTGCGCCAGATGTTCACGGTGTTCACACTTTCTAAACCTTAGGCACCTTAGGTATGTCTTTCGGCTTGGAAAAACAAACGACGAGAGGGGATGAAAGCAACTGCTGAAGGGTTCTTTATGACCAGCGCATTCTGGCTTGTCCGGTTGATTATACACCCTACCACTCTTTCCATTCTTTTTGATTCTTTCAACGCCATGCCATGCGTTCAACGGACCGAGTGGAACAAATCTGTCTGACTTGCCCATCTGGCCCAGATGTACAAAGTCCGGAAGAGGAAGGAGTATGAGGACGTGATTCGTCGACAAAGGCAAAACATCGGTTCATGGGTCGGGGACCCCCAGAGTCCGCAGAAAGAAGGCAACTACAGTGAAGACCTCCTTGATGATTTTCTTCCCTTGGTCATCATCATCTTTCAATGAGGCATAAGCAAAACAGTCTTGTTTGATGCTCGTCTACTTGCCCTTACGACCTTTCCAAGTCACCAGGCTGAGGTGTCCAGATGGGCCCCTTTCCACCAAGGTGAAGTATGCGCAGTGGGAGGCCTCTCAGCAGGACTGCTCCGGTGCATAGACCCAAGGCTGCCCAGGTTGCCCGCCCGAAACGGACCGAATCCGTGGACCGAATCGACCTGGTCGTGTGTCGTCGTTGGTCCTTTCGTGGACCTGTCTTTGGATTGTGTTGGGAATCTCCAGTTCAGAGAACGGGACATTCAGACATGTGAACCTTTGCTCGCATGACTGAACGGAGATTGAAATGCCAGGAATTTCGCCGTGCTCGCTCCATCTTCGAGCGAGCCCTGCATGTAGAGTGCCCTGTGGAATCCTCGAGCCATGAGTTGAAGCAGTGTTGATTCAGTTGATTCTTATCAACACTTGATAGACAATTGATTGCTATTTTATGCTATCAAACGATTCTCAAGTTTTGCATAGACAACTTGATTCTCAAACCTTGATCGAGAAGAGCTTGACTATGCTCACAAGCGATAGGTACCAGAATGTGAGCCTTTGGCTCAAATATCTCGAGATGGAGATGAAAAACAAGTTCGTGAACCATGCGCGAAACTTGTTCGATAGAGTCCCTCAGCCTCGCTTGAACATGCTGGCTAAAGAGATGGCAGCTTTATTTGTGCATTGCTTGTGAGAGTTGTGATCATGGCATCTCTGAGATTCTGCCACCGACGCCGAAAGCTCAAAAGCCAGGTGGTTCAGCTTCTCCCCAGGCAGGCGAAACGAGATGTATGGTGGAGCTCTGTTAGATGTTCCAGTGGTACATGCTGAATTCTTCCAGCAAAGCGATCGCCGTTGTCAGAAGCTCCCTTGTCAAACAGCAGATGCGTCACAAGCCAGGGTGGACCAGTTCTGGTACAAGTATGCCTACATGGAGGAGTTGTTGGCAAACTATGCAGGGTGCCTTTGACATGTTGGAAGAAGTTCAAACGTGTCCTCGAGGGCTATGAAACTGGACGCCTGTAAGAGATATTTGTTCGCACAAGGCAACAACATAATGGATACGAGACAACTGCTTGGATAGGTTGTTGGGGATTTGTATGACCCCAGGTCCAAAGGTGATGTTTGTTTGTTTGTTTGTTTGTTTGTTTGTCAGTCGATCAAACACCAATGCCAGGGCGCGGACCATCTATGAGCGATGGATGGAATGGGAGTTTGGTCCTCGGCAACCTTTCAAACTCGGACCTCCTGTGCATTCTGCCAAAAAGGCGGCACTCGTGAGGAAGGAAGACTTTGATGAATGGGATGAAGTAGACTATTTTCATCAATTTTCCAAGTCAAAGACCAGTGGTTTACAAGTGTTCAGAATCTACTTTTGTCCAAGGCCCGATGACAATCCCTGGCTTCAATACGTGAAGTTCGAAGAAAGGCCAGTGCTGTTTGTTGCTTGTGCCAGCTCTTGACCTTTTCATAGACGATATAGTCCTGCAAAACTGGACATGCTTCTTGCAAGTCATTGGCAGTCGGCAGTCACGAAGCGCTTCCCGTCCCTTTTCGCTTCGCACGGTCAGCGCTTCGCTTCCCTGGGCCGAACTGGGGTCGAGGACGCGATCGTTCACACTGCACTGCTCAACCAAGCCAGGTGTGGAGAGCTGGACAAAGCCAGGAAGGCGCTGAAGACGCGACTTCGGCGCCGGCGCAAACGGATACTGTAGATGGTTGTTTCTTTTTTTTGGGGGCAGCATAGCCACATCGACACAGATCTGGAAAAAGATGTCTTGCACACATGTTTCATGAACGGTTTTTGGATTTTCTACTGACTTTGCTTTTGCTTGCGAGAAACATGGAGAAACTAGAATCCCCTCACCTGGTCGCATGGGGGGAGCTCCCCTTTTGCTTTTGGTCCCTGACCTGAGACATCTGATATCACTCGCCAGGTCTTGGAGCGATATGTCAGCTGCCGGCCCACGCAACAGGTGCCGCAGCTTTCGCTGTGAGAACTGTGGCTGCCGGGCGCTCCCCTCTAAACAAAAAGGAATACCACCCACTCACTGGCCTGCGCCAGGAACATAAAGGAAAATTAATTCAAGCCTGCTGGTGTTGTGGCTCTTCGTATTTTGAGCTAGATCCATGTAGCGCCAGACCAGCTCTAGAGGCATATCCAGGTGTAGCCATGTTCTCCGGGCGACAAGCCAGATACAGAGATGATCCAAACATGGTCGATAAGAGCTTCAGGTGACACTTTACGGTCGAGTACATGACAATAACTGCCTATCATTCATAGCTTTTTTCTACGAGACATCATGTAGTTCTCCTTTACACTTGATTTGCCCCTAGGTTCCCAGGTCATGCGGATCAGAAAGGGACTCAAGTCCGCAGAATAGACCTGCACCAAGGGTTGATTTGCCATATTCCAAACGATCACCTTTCCCACGACCCGGTGATGTTTCCAAAGAGGCATTCTTGCGCCTTTGCAAGTTCGAAGAGAAGCACAACAACGCAGCGACCCGGCACCATTTTGCTCAGGCTTCCAACACGTTGAAGCCGAAGCAACCTCCCATGGATAGACTGTTTGAACCTGCTGGACGTTCGCCGCTTCAGTTCCTGCCAACCGTTGCGGCCCTTTGCAGTGGCCTTACTACTGAGGCCCGGGCACGATCGGCACCTCTGGCGTGTTGCAAACAGAGGGGTCGACCGACCAGCAAATGCCAGATCTATTCCTGTCCTAGTCTGTTCCCTTTTTGTTCCCCGACGGTACTTGGTCGACCGACATGAAATTTCTGACGGAATGTTCGATCTGGACGAGCCGGACGGTGCTTTCTTTCTGACATCCAGATGATCCCAAATGTCCTCATTTTTAGTGCTGCAATGTCCAATAATATGAATATGAATGTCATTGAATGTCATCCATTGCTTGGTTTGTTTTGAATCTATTGGACGCCCTGACCACTGAAAGAGCCAGCACTCTTGAGAAGAAACAAGTGGATCCCTGCCAGGGTTTTGAGAAGTCGGTGGAGCTACTGGGCAATGAGCTGGATGAGAAGCGCATTCCCCAGATCAGTTACAGTATCTTCTGATGAGTTGGTTGAAAAAGAACAGGTCAACTTCCAATCAAGGGATGTTTTTGCCGGTGTGTGAATCTGGACGTGTCGAGTGGTGGGCAGAACCCAGTACCTCGTAGGGTCATGATGAGGGGATCAACATCGTGTTCGGTAGGCTGAGAATTTGATGTTGCGCGTTGCCTGAGTTTTTTTCATCTCACCTTTAAATGAATGTGAGCTGTCCGACTTCTCATTTTTGATCATTTCCTGGATGAGAGACATGAAGATGCTTCGAGGTTCTACATTAAGTTTGCTCAGTTTGAGCAACGGCAGCGAGAAATGGAGCGAGCACAGGTGCAAGCCTGGTGTGGAGGAGGATAGGGAGAAGGAGGAGTTGGAGGAAGAGGATGAACAAATCCAAAATCAAATACCGGGAGATGAGGCAAAGATCGACAAAGGTCCCAATGCAAGAGAAACACATCGCATGGTTTTTATCAGCTTTCTTTTGCCAGCTTCTGTGCAGAGGCCATCTTCAAGCTGGCTCTGGATATTCTGCCGAAAGGCCAGTTGATCAGGGGAGAGCGGGGTGACCACACAGAGAGCATCCCTCACCGGCATCCGGTCATTCCTGCTGCTACATGGAAATGGTTACTGGACAAGAGTAAATTCCAAGACTGACTTCAAAATTCGAAGAGGCAAGGGTTGAGCAGGATCTTTTCAGGGGCTTAGTTCCACTTGGATCCAACTGGGCGTTCCCCTCAAACAAACCTGCAAGCAAAGCACACGTGTTGAACCAGCTGCAGTTTAACTGCCCCTTCAGCCTAGGTGCCAGCGATGAGCTCTATCGCGCATATGTGTCTTTCGAGAAGCAACACGGTGACAGGGATGCCATTGAGGAGGCACGGTGGGTGTGTGACTTTTTCCGTGGCGAATGGCCTTTTTGAGGCGATTTTTTGGCAAAGACCCAGTTGGTTGAAGCATGGGCAAGTAGAGAGTGGATCGAGTGACTGCCGCGCATGAGCATGAAACCTGCGGCACCATCTAGTTTCTGAGCAGATACTCAAAGATACAACGGAACGCTGGGAAAGAATCGCCAACATTTTGCCTCAGCCGCCGGTTTGAAAGAACAGCCTAAACTGCTTTGAGTCCAGATGTGCAGCAGGTGGTCATCAACAAGAGGCGCTTCATCTACGAGGAGCTCTTCAACATTTCACGATTAAGACTGCAGATATTGTAGACAATTCCTTTTGTGAAGGCTTTACCTCTTTGGTTTGCAAAAGTACTGCAGGAAGCTATCGCCAAAAATCAAAGGAACTATGATGTTTGGCTGGACTCTCAGAGGACGCGTTTTTGATCAAAGATGTGTCTAGAATCAACAGCAGATAAGTGCAAGTCTTTCAGATACATCAGCAACATATGTTCAACGCTACAAGCGTGAAGACATGATCAGAAGCAGCAGGTGAAATTCTCTCTGAGGTTTGATTATGTGCGCTTAGAAGAGAGCGTCGGCGACGTAGCCAGGATACGTGAGGCAAGCGGTTGTACACACAGAGCAGGCTTCAACTGTCTAAGTTTAATGTCCACTCCCTTTCTTGTTTCCGTGTACCAGATCCGAACTAACATGAAGGGCAAGAATTTGATTCAATGTTTGCGTCTGCTCAAGAATGCTACAAGTCCCAACGCAATCTTCGATGTTGGTCGAGCGCAAGCTACCAGACCTATGAGCGTGCTGTTGCCAACAAGCCGCCTGCAGGGAACCCCAGCCATCTCAGATGGTGAAGGCAAGATGTCAGATGGATTCAGATGGTGCTCGCCCAAAGCAATGAACATTTTCCGCAGGAGGTTCAGAGGTTCACGTGTTTTGCATCTTCAAACGGCTTTTCTTGGTTTTGGAACAAATCCCACACCTCCCGAAAACGACCAGACCGGTCTCGCGAGACCCGCGGCTCCGGGTCCGTGGCTCGCCCGATCACGCGTGGGACGTCAGTGGTCGCGGCCGGGTGAGGTGATGCAGAAGCGCTTTTGGAGGCGGTATATCTACCTGTGGCATCTTGGCAGCGCTTTTTTCTAGGCGCTTTTGGAGAGGTGAAGCTCCTGGGACAGATGTGATTTGGGACAGGTGGCAGAGAGGTGAAATCCTTATAACTTGTAGAGTTTGAATCGAGTCATATGGATTTGCTGAGGCTCAGAGTGATTAGAACACTCCCAACTCCCCACACTCCCTTGTTACAGTATAGGCAGATGGCAGGGTCTTCGTGGTGTCTTAAACGATCTTAAAAGCATGTCTGACTAGAAGCTGCTTTACATGCCCTGTCTTCACATGGCGCGCCATCACTACAGTTAGACGCAATCAGGATATACTATGCGCTGTTCGAGGACTGCGGGACTATGCATTGATACCTCCAAGTCGTCTCAATATGCGCTTTCCAAGTCAGGCCGGTGAGGATTGAGAGACCAAGTTGTCTCAAAACACTTTAAAGTGTCCATCTCCTTCACAAATCCAGTGTGATGGATAGAGGACAACTTGAGACCAAGTGTTTACCTGTCTACCTCAATCCCACACACTTTGCAGATCGCAACGGGTCGATGATTCATCGCCTTGTTTGGGTGAGAACGCCGCCTCGGTTGCTTGATCAACGGCTCAGCCTTTTGACGGCTCAGAGAGACGGTCGCGCGCAAGCGGAAGCGGCAAGGGCACGGGTGACGTTAAGCGGCACGAAAAGCGCCGTGAAAACGAAAGGAGCCTTACCTCACAAGGACGGTATTGGAGCCTTTGCCTCACTCCTGCTGACCCTCACAGGACGTCCCCCATTTTGGAACACCTGAGTTCGAAAAATAGCCGCCACTGTCACAGACATATCAGATATCCAAACAGTGCATCGATTTCGCATCGCTTTGATGGCGCCACGCGACCAGCAGGATGGCAGCCACACAGCCACCTGGTCTTGTTTCTTTAAATCACGGCTTTGGTTTCACCTGCTGATGGCATCCTCAAAGATGCAGTTGTGCAGTCAAAACCATGATGCAGGAGTTTCTTCGGGAATCGATGCGTTTCGGTCAAGCAGGAATCCTGCTTGTCCTTAACCTGAATTCCGGTGATTGAACGAGGTACGTCCAAAGGAACCGGTCCGACGAACCCACCGCGCCCAATGGCCGCGGGCGTCCGGAACCGGTCCCGGTCCGACGCGTTTGGCGCTTCCGGCGGACGCTCCGAGTTCCGCAGGTCGACTTGAGACGGGACGACTTGGATCCTCAGGTGCCACTTGACTGCAGCGGATCAGCACGGATCCTCACGGATCCCCCCTTCCAGCTGATGCCTTCGCGTCCTCGCTTCACGATCGTGGCGTCGTGACCTGTGGCGCTCGCGCTCGCTGAGCGTCGTGGTCTGAGGAGTCAGGGATTGCTGGCGCAAGCGTTCCAGCGGCCGTCGGAAGCCTTCCAGCTCTTGAGCCATGCGCCGTCGACGCTCGGACGAGAGCTGTTTTTTGGCGGAACGAATACGAGCTCGGCAAGAGCTGAGAGCCTCCAAAAGACGAGGGTTTTGGGAATGGGGTGATTTAGCTGTTTGGGGGTGGAGGAATGGACTATCAATCCTTTGAACCCATTCTTTTTTGGACACTTGGGAAGAAGCTAAGGACTCGCCTTCGGCCCACTGTGCTAGGTGCCTGGGCCGCATCCCCCACTTTTTTGCGGTATGTTACAAATGGATATGTTACATTCTTTGCAACACCAGCTCTCCGTGGCTCTCCATTGCGAGTTGGAGACTTGGAGGCTACAATGCTGTGATGTCGGCATGCTCGCGACAGCAGAGTTGGCGTGAAGCTTTAGAGACCATGTGCCCAGGCTGCCAACCTAATGTGAAGCCTGATACTCATAGAAGCAAGACAAATAGAAAGGATGGGTTGACTATATACTATATATTGCCTCAACCGGTGTTTCAAGCATACGGGTTTGTACGAATTGAAGGTCTCAAGAGTGCTACAAATCAATGTCGCGCTCTTTTTCGAAGCTCGTGGACCGCTGACCTTTTGAGCATTCGATTGACTTCTTTTCCATTCTTTTCCTGCAAAGACGTCCTCTCTTGGCTGTGTTTGGATCCCGTAGTCTCAAGGACCGTTTAGCAACCGTTGGAGCTGTGACCAGACAGCCCGAGTTTGGCACTAAGGAGCTTTATTGAGAGGGATGCCTTACAGCCTACGATCAGAAGCTTTTGGGTTGCATGACTTTGATTTTGTGTTCACAGCAGACAGACCTGCAAATCAGAATATAGCAGTGACACAGCTCTTCAGGCTTACAAGGCACTTTGCCAGCCAAATAGCGATGGCCTCCAACCTTAGGTTTCCCTAAAAATCTATAAACCAAATAATAAACACTTATATAATTAAGTATAGGGAGGAGGGGGAGCTTTGTTTCGGGTCATTTGAGTCGTCTTCGTCTCCACCCCCGACAGCCGCAGCTGAAAGGCTTGGGAGCTGTTTCTATCGAAGCACTTGAGCGGGATGGAACGAAATATGGGTGCATTGTTTCTAGACCCCAACTTGAAGTATCTAAGCTACTCCACGTGTTTATTGTTTTCTCCGGCATCTACAGTGAACCTCTGTGAACCTTTGACATTGTCATGCCTTTTTGAGCTTACCTTCACTTCTTACCTTCACTTCTTACCTTCACTTATGGCGAGCTTTTTAACTCCTCGTTGGAACCACCGTCGTCCCCCGATGACAACTTTCCCCCTGGAACGGTGGAACTCTATGGTATTTCCAACGGGACATCATCTTCGAGTTGTCCCAAGTCAACGCATGTTTGGTCACTTTGGGGTTTTGTCCCGCAAAGCCAATGACACCTGCAATGTATCCTTTGCTTATTTTTCTTGCACCAAAGTACTTTTCTGCAATTCCCTCAGCACAGACGCACGAGCGTGCTGACAGTGTTCTGCTTGTGTGTGTTCAAGGTTTCAATGGCTGCCTCAGCGCCTACGCGAAAGCACGCCATTGGGCGCGAGCCCTGCGCTTGCTGGATGAAATGCCGAAGCGCCAGGACCGCAGGGAGATGGACGCTGAGGGGTACGAGAGGAAAATCCTCCTGGCAGAGTGAACACATTTTTTGAAGTAGGTTGAGAAGGGGCATTGCTTTTTGACAATACATTTTATGTTGGCATCCTGCCACAAAAACCACTGCTCAACAAAGCAGCTCTTACGTTTTGAAAGCCCACTGCTCAACAAAACTCGGGTTGCTGGGAGTGATGGTTTTGCCCCCATGTGACTGGAAAGAATCCGGAGTTGTACACTTGATTGATCTTGATGGTTGTTTGGGTTGGACATGGGCAATTCTTGCCCTGACAGGCCATGAAAACCCTTGCAAAGAGGGGTTTCTGATGCATCCCTCTTCCCATCAAACACCCTCATGCCGTCCCTCCAATTGCCATCCCAACCGGGTTGGTCAGTTCGTCTATGCCGTCCATCCGGAACCACCGATGGATTGGTCTATCCGTATATCGTCCTGTGGAGCTGGGCGCTCCCGTCCTGTGGAGCACCGGGACCAGGTGCGGCCCGATTTGATGAGCTTCAATTCCACATTGTCGTCCACCAAATCCAGCTGGCAACAGGTGCCGCTTCCCGCGTCCCGCGCGCCAGGCGCACGCGTGGCGTGCGTGCCGTATTTGTCCTCTTGTAGGCTCGTAGGCTCGCCTTTTGACATGACATTTGTGGAGCTGCGTATCATGATTGTTCTGAAGACCATCATTGATTCAGAGCACAGGCTCGTAATCAGTTATTTCACTGGAGATCGCTTAGTTGCGTTTCACAGACTATTGACATTCTCTCCTTCTGGTAGATTTGCAAGTTCAAAAGGCCCTGGACCTTTGGTTTGTATTTTGACCACAGACCAGATCTCGGAGATTCTGATACTGTAGATTCATTCTGTAGAGACGATGAACATGATAAACTCATTCGCTAAAAGAAACAAACCATTCTCTATCCATGAACAGGTCTGCCGGCTCTTAGCATCTATGGAAGATCAGAAGATGCTCCCTGAAGCTCGGCACAGATGTGTCCCAGCGAAGCAAAGATGCCTCCCTTGGCGAAGGATGGATCCTCCTAACATCATGAGCTCAGGCATATATATATATATGACTTGCTATCATAAGCCACTGAGCATGCGAGTTGCTCAAGCTCTTTGGCTCAAAGAGCGTATGCAGTGGGGGGCTTTTTTGGAGGTCCTCAGGGAACTCCGTTTTCTGTGGCCTTCCGTTAGCCCCTGCACTTGCCCGTGGGGTTGGATCCTCCTGGCCATCGTGGTGACCTTTGGCTTTGGGTGCTGCTGCGGTGCCTTGGTGGCCATTTGCGCCTGGTCGCACTCCTGCCGCCGCGGCCTGAGGATCCTAGGTTCGCTGCTGCTCTCCAGCTGGGTGCCCGCCGAGGTGGTAGGTCAGGAAGTGACCCTTCGGAGACGGCTCAGCCAGTACCGCGACACCAGTGCATGAGCACTCCTTCTGAGGCTGACGAGCTTACGCTGTCTTTCGCTGGACTGCGCATCCGGATCGGCCGAGAAGGCCAAAGCGAAGCTGCTGCAGAGGAGAGTTCAAGCCTCTCATCGTTCTCCATAGTAAGGTCCCCCACCTCGGGTGCCCTTGCTCGCCCCTCTGGGGCATCAGGCTCTCCCGACGAAGAGCTGCTTGGATTTGGGGCCACCGACTCGCACTTAGTTGAGGCACCTATCCAACGACCCTACGGAAGCCCTGCTTGGAGGAGCGCCTTGCTGAGCGCCGTCACCCCTGAGGACTTTGAGAGCCTGGATCTATCTGGTGCTCGCCACCTGTTCTCGAGGTTGAGATCATCACCGGGAGGCTGGACTCCTGCTGCTCGTATCGGTCGAGCTCTCAAGTGTGGTGTGGTAGCGCGCTGCCACTTGGACCTGCAACCGACTCAGGAAGCCGTCGTGCCTGGCCTGCCCTTGACCAGCAAGATTTTTGTGGTTTTGAGGGGAGCACCTGGTCAACCTGCTGGGTGGACTGATCATCAGCCCACCTTCCGGGCTGCCACTCAAGGGCGGTTCGATCGAGCTCACGCGGACGCAGTCTGCCACGGCTTCGCTTCAAGAGCAGAGGGCGAAGCATATTGCCTGGGAGCTGAGCGAGTATGGCGCTTCTGCGGCGGCTGGACTGACCGAAGGGTCATTGCGGGCCCTCTATGGGGGCCGAGCGCCAGGCGGCGCATTGCCAAACCTGTTCGTGCGGCTACCGCCTCGAGCAGATGGCGCAGTTTTGAGAGCGCAGTGCACGCTTGTGCGTGTGAGAAGTGGAGGCTTCATGGTAGCGGTTCCGGACCTAGAAGATGTGGTGCATTTTTTTCCAAGAGCAAGAGCTCGAGCTGGATGGAGGAGGCGAGGCGGCCGTGCTTCACCTCGCGGAAGTGGCCATGGAGACCACGCGAGGACGCCTCCTAGGCACAGCGGCCGTGGTCCTGATAGACGCCAGTTGGGAGTTGGCCGACTGTTTCATCCGAGCTCACTCGCTTCGCAGCACTCAGAACTTCGAGCTCCTCAAGTTCACCTACGAAGAGCAAAACTGCCGGTGTCGTGTCTCCTCACTGCAAGAAGCAGCCGAAGTCTGGATCAACCAGGCGATGGATGTAGACACCGCTGGCGATTACGCCACCGCCAAAGTGCTGGAGGAGGTGGAGGAGCAACAACAGGAGCCTCACCTGCCGGTGACCACTCCGGAGGAGACGCTGAACGAGCTGGCTCTTCTGAAGCAGAAGATCGCAGAACTGGAGCTCCAGGCACTCGACAGCGCTGCAATGCCAAGAACTCCCTCCATGCCTGGTTTCTCCAGAGCGGGGCAAGCAGGTTCTCCCCCATCACCGGGGGTGCTGTTTGGAGCTCGACCTCCAGTGGCCACCGAGGACGGGTTGCAGCGTCTTCAACAACTGGCAGGCGGTGTACCCAGTCGTCTTGGAGCACACGAACGGCAAGCTCGAGAAGGTCGACCAGAGCAGATCCTGGAAGCCTTACAGCAGGAGGAGTCGTTGGAAGCCACTGCAGGTCAAGAGTTGGAAGAAGGCCTGCAAGACCTGGAGGCCGCTCAGCTGGATCCTTTACAGAGGATGATGCTCCTTCAGATGAAGCAGATTCAGCTCTTGACCAAGCAAGCGGCTCCTCGGCAGCACGACCCGATTCATGTGGCCCTGGGGGGTGGAGGCAGCTCCGAAGGGAGCAGCTCGAGTGGAGGCATCAAAGGATGCTTGGCCCGAGAGGCCTTCATCAAGGTCGCTGCGGACCTCGACAGATTGGGCGAGTTGGTGCAGCGAAATGCATCAGAGGAGCTGGGTCTGGATGCGCTTCAGCCTCATCCGGGGCTGATGCGCGATTACATCGAGAAGCGAACGCCTCTGGCGGATCATCGATTGCTCACTCAGATGGCCTACATCATGGCCAGTGGCTGGGAGATCGGCTTTCGCTCGGGCAACAAGAAGCTGCAAGGTTTTTGCTGCCGGACATTGATGTTCATCGACCAGACAGCCAACGATGCGGGCAGGACCAATCTGAGTTGGCTTTTGACGGCACTGCCCGAGCCGAACTTCGCCCTGACCCAGAAAAACCGGGTTCGGGGAAGCATGGTATACCGTTCACACGGTTGGCTCAACCGAGCTGGATCTCAGCCAATGTGGCCTTCCTCAAAGACCTCGACTTTTTGGAAGGACGCATCAAGTCCGCGAACCAGTCTCCAGGCACAGCTCCAAGTGCCAAGGAAAACTCCGAGGAACCAAAACCTCGGAAACCATGGAAGCCAAAGAAAAAGACGAAGGAGGAGGGTTCAGCCTCCACCACGGGGTGACACGGGGAAGCGACTCAGTCCCGCGTGTGCGACAGCTCTGTGAAGTCCCTTTGCCGGGTTGCGGGATTGGCTCCCGACTGCTGTTTTCGGTTGGGGGATGGATCAGGGCCAGTCGCACACCCATGCGGTGGAGGAGATGTCGCCAAGCCCCGAGAGCCAAAGATGGAACAGGGAAGGCCTGTTGGGCGAATGCACAATGCCCGATCTAGGTGCTGAGACAAAGGGCACCTGCCTTCCAGAAGGAATTCAGTGCAGTGAGTTTTTCAGAGCAGCCTTGTTGGTTGCTAGTCACCGAGGACCCCTGGCTGCTTTTACCAAGCGCAGCCTGGTCCCATTCCGCACCGATGCCAGGCCGACCTGATCTATGGCCTTGTCCCCCTCCATGCTGGAGGAGATGGACATCGCTTAGCAAGCTGTCCCCCCGCCGCAGACGAACTCACAAGTTCATGCAGCTCAAGGCTTTGGCTGTGGAGCGGCTGGTGGTTGCCCTGAACTGGTTGACACTGGGTCAGACAATGCACCCTCCAGATCGAGCCCGGAGAGGCTTTCCTATGAGCCAGCAACAATTTGAAATGCTGGAGCACCTTGACAGCCTGGTGGATTATTTCCTGCGTGCTGGAGAGGTGACTGCGGAGAGTCTAGGCAGAGCCGGGGAGAAGCTTGCCAAATTAGCAAAGTACGCTTTTAATTGGAAGCACCAAGCCACGCAGGTTGATTTTGAGGATGTTGATCGTTTTTTACAGGTTTTGCACAAAACGTTTGACGGCTATACCAACCCCCGCACACGGACTCGCCAATGCTCTCCGGAGTCAGGTCCTAGGTTTTCTGAAGGGGATTGCGATGAAGCGGCCTTAAAACCTGTTGTTAGGATGCCCATGCAGACATGTAGCAATATCCCGGTTCGTGCTTCACGTGTTAAATGGAAACTGGAGCCTAGCTTTGATCCCACCCCGTTCCTCACGGATCCTGTGGTGAAAGCAGCTTTCATACAGCCGGACACACTTCGGCGTCCAAAACAGCAGTGGCCGTCGCTTCCCAAAGCTAGAGTTCATGCATCACGCTCCGACGTCCTGGAGCTTGCTGAAAAGTGGGATGCTTTGAACGCGTGCTGCGTGGTCCCGTGCTCTGAGGTTCGTGAAATTGAGACTGTTGGTATGTTCTGTGTCCCCAAGGACTCGGAATGGGACCGACTCATTTTGAATCCTACAGTGATCAAGTCACGTTGTTTTGGGTATTCTGCATATACCAAGACCGAAGACCCTAGCTCCTGGGTATTTGATTGCATCTATCCAACTGCCAAGAGATGAGACATTGTTGATTTCCTCGGATGCTCTTTGTGAGTTTTACTATACTTTCAAGGTCAGTCAGGCTCGTGCAAGGCGCAATGCAATTGGAGTAAAGTTTCAAGGTTCGGAATTGGCTTACCTGAAGTGCTTCAATCCAGCGCTTCGTCACTCCGAGTGCTACATATGTTTGGGTACATTGGCTATGGGGGACGCCTTAGCAGTGGAGATTGCTCAACAGAGCCATTACAACCTTTTGAGGAGTTTGGCTGGTAGCATGAGGTGTGACGAAGCGCTGCAATACAGACTTCCGTGTCCAAGAGGACCTTTCTATGAACTCCTGACCATCGATGACCACATCGGACTCCAACGGGTTAAGAGCGCTTTGCTTCCGGGTCCTTGCACACACACACACACGAGACCATAAAGTTTTTGCTGCTTCAGAGGAAGCCTACAAGCAAGTTAAACTCACGGCTCAACCAGGGAAGAAGCAACGGCAAGTGGAGCATGCCACAGTGTTGGGGGCAGAGGTTCATGGCACTCTTGGCCGGGTTTCGGCTCCGCGAACGAGGGTAGCAGTGTTGTGTTTCGTTACAGCTCTCATTGCTACGAAAGGGATCATCACACGGAAGCTCCTTCAAGTGGACACACGTTTGCCTGTTTCGCAGACCCGTGTTTGCTGTGTTCGACCAAATCTATCACGAAGGGGAAAATCTAGCTGACGATGTTTTGTTTAAGATGTCTTCGCAAAGCATGACGGAGCTCTTGCTGATGTGCGTGTTGGCGCCCGTGCTGCAGTCTGACTTGAGGGCATCCGCTGCCCCAGTGTTGTACATGCTGGACGCCTCACCGTTTGGCGGTGGTATATGCAAAACCGAACTCTCAGCTGAGGCCATCTCTGAGTTGTGGAGACAC